AATGTAGTGAAATGGTTGCTAAATGCATCGATGGGATGTAGATGTGAAAAGATGGCTGGTCAGTGTCTCTTAGGATTTTTCGGCCATCAGTTTTTATTGATTTTAGATGTTCAGGAAGGAACTGACGAGCAGACGATAGTTCTTTTTATGAAAAAGTAATAAAATTCAGTTTTTTTTTTTTTCAGATCGCACAAAGCATTTATTGCGGTGCTGAAGAATGGTGTGATGAGGTACGTGAGGGACGCGCGCTTTGTTGTTCTCTTTCGCGGCCACGCATCCAAGCAGTCATCCCGCAAGAAAATTTGTTAAGAAAACTTAGTGCGCTGGGGAATGAGACAGCAGAAATGTATCATGAAAGTATCCGAAATCCTGCAGAAATTGACAGTCGGCAAGATTCGCAAGGATCGTCGCATAGCTCTTCAGTGAACGATGATGATGGTGATGATGATGAAAACACGGGTGCTGTGCGAGAGGAGCTGGTAAACCATTTGGACGCTGATGCTGCAGTAGCAGAAGACGTCACTGAAAATGCTCGAAAACGGGCACCGAGCAGTTCAGATGAAACGCCTACAAAGCGTGCACGAAATGATCCTGAACACGATGAGCCGGAGTTTGTCACTGTTGCTGAAAGTTCAGATTCTGCTGAAGAAACAACGGATAAGGAGAAGATTTCCGAAAAAAGTGGTTGTGCAACGAGATTGCAACAGTTGGAAGATTCTGATTCAGATGATTCTGTGGTGATTTTAGATAGTGGTGGCGACCAGCTAACTGTCAAGCAAGTAATGTCTCTTTTTAGGGCAGTCTGATAAAATTCCTTTTTCGAATCGCGCTGTTCTAGGGAATTCATTTTTTCTTTTTTTTTTTGGCTAGTTGAACAGATGATCCATCTTCTTTTTGTTGCTTGTCGTTATTTTTAGATATTTTCGGAACACTATTCATCACTGTCAGGCACAAATTGGTCGTTCAGTTTCAGCACAGGGAAAATCAATTTCTGTAGTCATTTGCTGCAGTGTAAAATTGATGCCTGCGCATACCAGAGAGAGTTTGCTTTTGAGTAAGTTGACTGTAGCAATCAGGTTGACCCTGGAAGTCTAAATGGCGAAAGAGCGCGATAGATTATAGCAAGAAGGAGCGCAAAAGATTATAATCCTCGCGGGGATGGGTCTTTAACTTCCTTGATTCCCCGTGGTCTTTATTTTCTTTGTGCTACCATTTGAACTACGTCTTAGTGCCTTCACTCCTAATAACAGTGAACCATGAAGTCTGAATAATACTTCTAAAAATGTCTTGAACATCCACAGTGTTTGATGTATTGTTATACTTCTTTTTTTTTTCATTACCCCGTTTTGAGGACGATGTTTTGTTGCTGTTGATTGTGCCTTTTGGGGTTTTTTTTTCAGTTTTTCCTCACTGATATGTTTGTCATTGGTATAACTGTATAAGTTTTTTTTTTTTCCATCGGCATATTTTTTGGTTTTTTTCCTAATATTTTTCAGTTCTTTTTTCGCCGATATGAGTGTTTTGGTGTGATTGTATGTCTTTTTCCAACGGCATATTTTTCGGTTTTTCTGGATGCGCACACGATGCGTGCTTTTCAGTATTGTAGTCTTGGTGAATCACAGCCATTCACAGAATTACTGTTAAATGTTGTTATCAGTGGGGGTGCACCCGGGTGCCCCGTTGTTCCATCTATATTCTATTCTGAGCCTTCGTGCTGCTGCTGGCATCACTGTTGTGTTCGTGTGCAAGAACCGGTTTGGCTGGTTGATTACGGTGCATTCTGGGCAGCACTACCGCTGAATTGTTGTTATAATGTTGGATTATAAAGCAATTTCCTGATGTTTATTTTGTGAATTCGCTGAAATAACGATGATCAAAGCGATTTACATGTTTCTGACTAAACGGGAAGGGGCTCCAAAGATGGCAAGTTTGTCGGGGGCAATTGGCTGGACGGGAGGGACACTCAGCCGAGTAACGGATGAGGTAGTTTCTCAGGGAAGAAGCTTTAAACGAAGTCCCGCAACAGCTCGGCCCTGGAACCTGTGATTCATCGTTGAGAGAGTTTGCACGACAAATATTCATTGTTTGGCTAAGGCATTACACATCGATTTTAGTGCCAACGTGGCAGAGTTTTAAAATAGCGTTTTGTGAAGAGTGGGACTTGCGGGGTTCTGGTATTGCTCGTTAGCTTCCTGGACCAGACATGTCATGGGTTTACCTTTTTGCCTCGTTCTCCTGCTATCTGCTGGTTTTTAAAAAACTGGTGGGAGTTTTTTGATTTCTGGTTTTGTTTTAAAAAATTTCTCTGGTTCTAAAAAATCTGGTTTTAAAAAATTTTTCTTGTTTTCTCAACTCGAAATTATGCTTGTGAATGTTCGAACTCGTGTTTCACATTATTATCATTAATTGTAATGTGGCAAAGAGTAATGAATCATTGAGGGAACACTTAGTTTGTGTAATACCAAGTGAATATATCAAGTTTTCCCAATGATTCATTACCTCTTGTTGCATTAAAATTTGTTATAATAATGTGATAACCGCTTAAAAAGGATTGTGAGTTCAGTATTTTTGGCGGTTTTCCATGCTCTATTTTTACCCTTTGATTATTGCGTAACGTAAAGAAGGGTCATTGAGTAGCCACAGTGAATACTAAATTTGCAGCAAAATTTTGACGGTGCTTAAAAATTATGAGCATTGAGGATGGCTGAAATTAAAGCCGGCGTTTGCTGAAAGTTGGGATTCTTCAAAATCGAGGGCCTTTGCGGAGTGGACGATGTTGATTTCAGCAGCTTTCTTTTGCACTACTGCACTCATTTTGTGTTATTTTCTTCAGAGTTTTCTGTGGCCTGGAGATGAGAATTTTGCTAACCGGAGCGGCAGGTTTCATTGGCAGTCATGTTGTCCTGGAATTACTGGAATCTGGCTATGACGTAGTGTGCGTTGATAATTTCTCGAATGCTGTGCAAGGTATGTTTTTTCATCTCATCTGCAAGATGTTCTTTTTTATCAGCTGTTTTCCAGTGAATTGATGTGCCGCAAGCATGGATGCTCGACGACATGTAGCTGCTTTTACACAGTATCCCCAGTTATTGTCTTCTACCCCGCCCTTCCCCCTCCCCATCCCCCGTATCCTTTTGCAAAGTGGTAAATGCTAAAGAGGCAGTATGCCCGTTTTCCGTCCAGCTATTTATGAACTGTGAAAAGCGCTTTCATGTACTCCTAGTGTGCCAGAAACTATATAAAGAAGGAGGATGAAATTGTGAGAATTTGGATGATCGTGAACTACGTGAGCCAGGATAACTCTGCAGCAGAGGAGTCTCTTAGAGTGAAATTCAAAACCCCGCATTTTCGGCATTTTCTGAGATAATCCAATTAATTTTATTTCGTTTGCGCAAGTGAATTGCATAAAAGACTCAACCGGCTAGCAGTTCGTATTCCCAGAAATCGTTCAGCATACACAGCTAGGTGAATTTCGTTCATAAAGGCACCGTTAGGGTCATAAGGAGGGGTAAAATGTGCCGGCCGAAAATGCTTTGTTTAGCAGCTGAGCAACTTTGTGTATTATTGATTGGTACTTGGGCAAGTGCCACTTTTCACTTGGTCGATTTCGGAAGAAAACGAGGTTCGACGTGAAGTTTTTGTGAGAGTGAAATCGATGACAAAAGTGCCCAGTATTGTACTGCAATTAAGACTCAGTTCGTAAAGGCACTGTCTCGTTTGGTGTTGTTTTGTCACCGTTTTATCGTTGCTGCTGATGATTATGATGATGATGATAATGATAATAATAATAATAGCGGTAATAATAACATTAATAACAATAATAATGGTAGTAATAATAATAATAACAATAATGATAATAGTAATAATAATAATAATAATAATAATAATAATAGTAGTAGTAGTAGTAGTAGTAGTAGTAGTAGTAGTAGTAGTAGTAGTAGTAGTAGTAGTA